AAGGGCCGCGGCGGCTGCAGCGCTCACCGAGTGAACAGGCGCCAAGAGCGAGTCGTGGCCCGGTTCGTGGAAGCAGCTGCCTTCTCTGGGCTCCGGGAAAATCCAATCTGCGCTTCTATCAAAACTGAGAAAGCAAATAAAAATTTTAACAAATGTCCTGGCAGCCTCCAAATGCCCAGAAAGGAGCTAGCAGCCGAAATCAGCTTCAAATCAACCATGTAGCCCAGCCCTATAGGCCCCTTGCTTCTGGTATCCAAGCCAGACAGCGCACGGTGAATCTGCTGCTAAGGCATAAGGCAAAGCATTGCGAGACACAACAAACTGCTGGTGTCCCATCCCAAGCACTCCCCTGCCTGTCTGGGATGGGCTCCAGGCCCCCCTCGCGAGCCAGTGCTTCATAAGCAGTAACAGGATGGATGGATGGACACTCGAATGGGTTAAGCATGCTTTGTAGGATGTACTCGCCGGGGTGCTGTTGCTGTGCGGCACGCTGCACACCGCTCTCTCCGTTAAGAAAATGAACAACGATAGATGAGTCTGAGGCGTGTGTTGCCGTGCCCGCAAGGCCAGAGAGCCAAACCACTATCCTGATGGCCTCGCTTCCCAAAGACTCCGAAGCGTTCGACAGATCCCTCAGAAATAAGACAAACGTATGCACTGACTTTTCAAACACGTCCTGCATGAAACGAAAAAGTAATAATAAATACTTTTGAGAGGTCACAGTGGGTCCTGAGTGTTTGCTGTCCCAAGTAAAAAAGACAATTGAATAAATAAAAATGCACTCACAACAGTGTAGACTTTACCAACTGGCTCCCTTTTTAACTTTGGAAAGCTACACAAGACTCTTAATAATTGATTGTAATTGATTTTAACCCGGCCCTGACCTGGACTGGCTAAGAGGCCGAGCCAATCATGTCGGAGTGGCAGGGAAATGCGAAAACAGGCCGGCTTTCTCCTTTAAAAGCCCCAGACGAGTACTGAAGATAAAATATTTAGGCTGCTGGAGCCTTGACCTCCTCGTGCAAACCGGCTCTGAACTCAAACTGATTTCTGACAAGGCAACTGGGACACCATTACAACAAAATGCACTACAGCCCATAGGTCGTGTCTCTGAACGTCCTCACCAGCTTAACCTGTTCGGGAAATGTGAGCCGAAACCTCTGCAACAAGCTCAGCCAAACTGCTCTCTGCTCGCTGCAGGCAGAGACGCTTGAAAACAGGCAGGTCTGTTCTGGCCCTGAAGCGAAGCCCTGCAGCCTGCAGGAGCTTCACGGAGTGTGACTGCAGACACCCTCACAGTAAACGAGCTCACAGTCAAGCAGCTAAAGCTAAACAGTCTGTGGATTTCACATTTAGGCTCCTCGCAGCGGCCTCGCTGGAGACAGCTTCGCGGCGAAAACCCTCACAGCAAACAGACCGCCTGTAAAACACCCCTGCATTAAAAAGCAGCCTCGCAGTCAATCGCCGCAGGTCATCCTGACTGGGGACGACCGCTTTTCTCAACTGGAATGGTTCCTTTGCACAAACGAGCGGGGTTGGTGCAGGCCGGAATCCTAAGCAGGGCTGAACGAAAGGCGTCTGATCCGTGTCAGCGCAGCAGAGGGCTTAGGCGCCTGGGAACATCCTGAAACACAGGCCGGTACGGGCTTTTGCTGCTAGAGCGTGATCAAACCAGCCAATGGCCTGTTTGATGCTGCTATCGATTCGCCCACTGGCACGTCTGACAAACACACGCGATTTGAAAGGAGCACAATCCATCCAAAACTTTGATTAACGCAAGAATTGCTTTTTATTTCTGGGGTAAATGCTGTATTTTATTAAGCATTACATCATGAATAAGTTTTGTAGTGGTCGGCGTGAGATGCGTACAAATGTTTGGCGGTGCTCCCTAAAGCAGGACTCCAGGCAGCCCGAGCTCTTTCTTGACGACGCAGCAAAGCAGACAGCAGAGCCAGCTAACGCCGAGGCAGAGAGGGACTGTCCCCGCTGTTGCCGCGGTAGCAGTGTGGGGTCAGCATGCCCAGGCTGTCAGAGGCGGCCACCTGTCCCCACCTGGGAGTGCAGGTGTTCTCGCTGGGGAGCCGCTAAGGACACGGCACAACAAAGGTTGAGGGAAACAAATGCGCTCGCAGGATAAGTCAGCAGCACAGGTTCACACTGGCGCATGCTCGCCGCCTCATGTGCATATAAATATAGCTGCACATACGTTATATCAAGCATGCAGTAATTCAAAAAGTTTGACACATACGTGGCTTAAGAACTGTGACATTGTGGCTGCAGCCTGCGATCTGTTGGCTAACATGCACCTGTGCAGAGAACTGGCTCACAGATGGATGCACAGTTCGCACTTTGCTTTTATCAAAGCAGGCCCATTTCCTCTGTTTCCTACAATGTTATCATGCCGGGGGGGTTTGGGGAGCCAGTCGACCTTGGACCCCGAAAGGCTTTTGTCTCCCAGCTCAGGAGTTTTTGGTTCCTCTCCTCCATTGTCATCTAGCTTTCTTTCTTTCCATTTTTCCCTCTTTTATGCACCATTCTGTATAAATGATGTAGTAATAGACTACCGCATAGTCTTGTCAAGTGGCTTTCGGCAACTCTGCTGTGAAAGGCTCTACATAAATTGAATTGAATATACATGTATACATCCACTCTCACATTTTTATATCACTAAGAATGACGCACAGCATCTACCAAACAGGGAGAGTTTGATGCACTGAAGCTGCCACTTTGCATGGCTAAACCTCAGCGTCCTAATCAATGGGTCGGGCCCACAGACTCAATCAGGCTGTCAGATCGATGTGGTGAGCGAGTCCCGCTGGATGTGTACGTGTGCTGGCAGCAAGTTCGGTGTGGCCAGCTCCAGCGACAGCAGGAGGCTCTGCACCGGCTCCAGCAGCCCTGCAGTCTTGGCGGTGGTCTCCTCCTTGGCCGCAGGCAATCCCGCGCCATTAATCACCAGAGGAGAGTGGGGCGGGGTCAAACTGGGGCTATTAGAGGAAGATGTGGGGCAATGGCCTCTGTGGCGTTAACCTGGCCACCCCCCATGGGCTCCGGCTGGGCCAGGGAGCACAGCTGTCCCGGCTATCAGCCCGCAGCTGCGGGCCGGGCCCTCCGCTGCAGCCAACGCGCTGCGCACCAACAGCATCCGGCGCCAGCGGCGGCCAGCACAAAGAACCTGCGGCAGGCCAAGGCTTGGCGCAACAGCAGCCAAGCCCCGCATCTCAGAGAAGTACTGTCACGCATGTCCAGGCCTCCACTACCACCAGCAATGAGATGGAAGTGGACCGGAGCACCAGGAGGCCATGGGTTCAAGTCACGATGTCGTCTCCTGACACTTAAGGTGATTTGACCTGAGACGTTCAGCAAACATCCTTTAAAAAGGTAAACGGCGAGCAGCATAAGTGCCCCCCGATAAGGTCGCCTCCTAAATAAATAATGCTCAGCGAGTAGCAGAAATATGGCTTTGCCCACTCGGCACTGATCTTCCGTCTCCCTTCCTGTCTCCATTGCCCAGGTAAATAATAAGCCGTTCTTGGACATTCCCACTCGGCCCCTGTCCAGCTCTCCCCCATCCCTCATCTAATCTCAAATGGTTCAATGTTGTTCAATTAGATTCCAGCTGACATGCATTGGAAGCAGTCAGAGCCATCCAGTAATTCAGCCCTCTTTATAGCCAATCTATTTTTTAATAAAGGTTCTGAAGAAAACATTAAAGTATTGATCTTTATTTATCGATCTGCCAGAAAGCATACTTAAAGCTGACACAAATCAATCAAAATAAATTTAAAATGATGATAGCTTATAGAAGAACCTGAGGTTGTACTCCAAGCTTAATTAGTGTGGGGCGGGGGGAGCAGAAAGCAATATCTGACAATAATACAGTGACCAAAGTACGTTAGCAGCCCAGATTAGAAGTGTGCATCACATTCAGCTATACATTGGAAAGCCAAGGTTAATGAAGATCATGGTTCTTTAGACCTTAAACGACTAATGTAACTGGATCAAAATGGCCACTAAACAGCTACATGAGGCACCCCAGTGCAGGAGTCAGCTGAGTACTGTAATACTCCAGCACGCTCTTTAAAAATATATTATAAAAAATACTGTCCATAGATACTGCCAGGTGCCCGTGTTTGTGTGTTTGCCAGTGGTAAGTAGATGTGACAAAGATAAGCCTTGTTGTCACAACAGGTAGTTTGCAGATCAATACGCGTCTGAGAAAGGCCCGATCTTACACTGTTAGAGCTATTACTTTGCCCCCCGGTGGAACACAGAGCAGGCACAATGCTGGCTCTCACAGCACTCCTGCAGCAGGGGGCGTGGCCGTTAGAGGCCAGATTTGGGGGGTGCTTGGGGCTAACCCACTTATCCAGCTGTTTGACCTGATCGGCTTTTGTGGAATATCTCACCACAAAAAAAGAGAAGAAACCCCTTGTGGTGTGACTTATGTGATGCAACGTAGCGTAAGATAAACACCCTTATGGCAGACACCTCATCATACACGGATGTCTTTTTCCGTCCTGTAATATCAGAAGTGCCATTTCCGCTGACAGGCCCCGGGAAACTCTCTCAAATTACGCTCCATATCTTCCTAATATATGAGACCGTTTTACATACAAAAATATTAATGAACTAAGCAGGGCCTTATTCGATGGAGTTATGTAGAACAACCTGGAGATCTTACTGGGCCAGTGATCCCAGTGGGACACATGGATCCACCAGGCAAGCAAGACCAGGCTCTTATTGACAAAACACTTTGGGACGAGAAGGTAAATGCCATCAGACAGCCCTTGTTACAAACAGGGAACATTCATAAATGGCTCACAGTTTAACCTGAAAGTGTCTGACGTCCACAGATGGGCCTAAACTTCAGCTCTATGGTCAAGACCGCAGATATAGTTAGAGCTCTGAATTTTCAAGACAAACTCCTCAGATTTGAGCAAGCAGAACTTAAGAGTGCTTTCAGTAATAACAGTGTTTACCATAATTCCATCACTCACAGGATGAAGAAGCCAGCTGAGACTGGCAGTGAGGCAGTGGCGGTCACACTCGGCCGGTGCTGGGCTAGATCCTTCCAGGGTGATGATCCACTGGCATTCTGTCACCTCGCGCTGCGCCGTGGATGGCTGCGGACATAAGGAGCTTAATTAGCCAAATGGCGAACAGTGACTGGGGCAGTGGCAGCCGTGGCAAACGATAGTGAATAGAGGAGTGTGACACACAGAGGCCACCTAGGCAGCATGTGAGACCCGCCTGGGCTGTTGTGTAGGGACAGGGGTATCATATGGAAGTAGAAATTAATGACGTGGACCGCCAGGGCCACTTTCAGCCCCGTGCTCCGGTCTGTCAGCAGGCCGCAGTGCTCTTGCCTTTCACTTTCGCACCCGAGATGAGCCGGAAAGCGTTTGTAATGAGAGTCTGCGGGCGTGACTGTGATGTCGGCCTCGGCACGACGTGGCACGGCACACTATGCGTGACGACCGGCAACCAGGGATGGAGTGGCAGACGCTGCGGCCCGCACGCAAGGCATCGTGGGATAGCCCACTGTCAGAAAAAGCGGACATCCAAACAGCCCAGACGCTGGCTCATCGAAGCGTCCCGCGACGCCTGGCGGTGATCCATTCGGCCCTCGGAGACTGAGGTGGGGGGGTGCCGCTTTTAACTCGGGGGCTAATCAGACAAAAATAACCCTGCGGCACTGCGTGCTCACAGCGAAATGTGAAAGCGAGGCACTGAGCCAACAACTGCAGCCTCCAACCGGGAACATGGGCTGCAGGGGGGGATGGGGGGGGGTGCTCTCCTCTGCACCACATCCTCTGCTCTCCACCATCTGTCCAGGGGCAGGGGGGCCATCAGCAGGGCGTATGAGAAACGGAGCAGACTAGTAGGTTAGAAACAATTACGGAAAACAGAGCTGACTAGCTGGTTAACACCCCCCCGCCCCCCCCCACCCCGCCCAGGTTCACCCGACCAGTCCGAACTGCTCCGCTGCCTTTGTTCTGCAGACACTCGCCCGCTTCCCTAATCCGCATCTGCCGCCAGGTCCCTAAGCACACATGCATCACATGCTGTTCCAGCGCTGCAGGCCGGCTATTGCCATGTCTGGTGGCCCCAGCACAGGAATTATTCCCAGTGGCCGGTGTCACTTGTTGGCCAAAACACCCCCCCGCCCCACCCCATCTCCAACTAAGGCAGAAACGAGACACTTGACTCTGCAGCACGCTGAGTGGCACCTCGCCTGGTGAGGATGATGGTATTTAATGGCCTTTAAAATTTTTATTCGGGGAGAGCCATAAAAGAGGGAGGCAGCCATTGGAGAAGCATCTCTTAATAACCCCAACGCCGTGGCCACCGTAGCGCAGCTCATAATTCTGACTTCAGGCGGTTTCTCCTTTTCCTTTTTTTTCCGAAAGCGGGAGGAAAGATAGAAGGGAGAAGAGAGAGAGCAGAAGAGACAAGCACAGTTTAAAATTCCTGTGAGGTCAACGCTGGCCGCTACAATGTTTTTTCACAACTTAATAATAGATGTTTTAAAGTTTAAGTGCAGCCTGAGGGTCTCCCCGCCACTCATTAGGAAGGCCGGCTCGCGGGGGCAGCCCCGTGCCGCACACACACGTGACCGGTGGACCCGTGCACCGCTGCCGACTAATCAGCCGGGAGGAGAGGAGAGGGCCGGCCAGTGGGGGTCAACATCCACGACCGGCGACACCCTAACCCATAAATACCAGGCCGTCTGTTCCGATATTCAGTGCTCCCCCCGAGGGACGAGCAGATCCAAATGTGACTCGATGTTTTATTTATCTCGCTGGCCTGACACTGGGAGCCCCGGAAACTGGCCCACGCGCTCAGCTCAGCGAGAGGGCTCACCGTACAGGGCACACTGCGGCCGGCCTGACAGCGGGGCAGTGAGTTCGCTTAACTCCATACCCCAGTTACAGCAAAGCCGTCGCGGCCGTTCAGGAACACGGGACTATAAACAGATCTGTCCGCAAAGCACAGGTAGCGCGCGGCGCAGGAAAAGTCACATCCCATGAGTTGCAATTATAGCGCAGCCGCTGCACACGCTGCAAAGCGGTAACAACGAACGCGCTTCACGGGCTGGGAGCTAAGGACTATTTCTGGTACAATTAGAGGCAGCGTCTGATTGTGCGTAAGAACATAACAACGAGGTACAGTCCCGGGGCAGCAGGCCGTCTTCCCTGAAGGCGCCCTCGATTCCTCTGAGCAAGAGGGACAGCTATAACAAGGAGACACAGATGCCTTGCTCCAGAATCTCCTCTTCCTGTGCTGATCTGACTCCTGCGCGTGTCACACTCCCCCTGGGGTGTCACATGATCTGCATCCGTGGTGAGAGGTGCTCCCCGACCCCCGATGGCACCCCCTCGCCGGGTCCCCGGGGCTACGCCGCTCGGGCAGGCCGCTGCGTGTGCACACCCCCTCTGCCGTGCCCTTCCTGTGGAGCTGCTACGCCGCTATTGTGCCCTGCGGCCGCACTGGCACTTGCATGGCAGTGCGTTAAGGCGCCGGGCGGCTATCCAGGGTGCCGTGGCCTTCAGATCCCGCTGCTTCTGTCAGGTCCACTTGACGGTTAAGAGCGGTGCTTAATTGGACGGCCCCCTGTATCAGATACGCTACGGCACTAACATTAAAGCAAGCGCTTCTCTGCTGCATGTCCCTCTCCTTATTACCAGCCTGACTTTCTCATTTCTGGTAAATATGGGCGTTGAAGGAGTCTGTTTTTACAGGTCTATTCATGTGCTTGTCTCTTCTTCCCTTTATTCCGATTGGCTGTTGCCGCAGCGGCAAGCGGAGGCCATTTTGAGATTGGGAGATTAGGCTCCCCATCATTCAGGGGTCTCCCTGTCGTGCCGCCGCCATCTTGCCCGGCGTCCCATCAAAAACATCTCCGGGAGGTATTTCAAACCGAACGCACCATAATCTGCACATTAATACGCGACTTGGGTTACAGATTACGCGTGGACACCCGCACTTTATGGGGGGCTCTTGCACAGCATCCCGCTCCCCGTCAGTAAATTTCACAGGAGACGCACGCCTCTGTGCCCGGGTGACGGGACAAGCTGCCCGTAACCCCCGTTTTTTCCCCCCTTCGTTTTTCTCTTCCAAGATGCAGCAGAAAATTAAAGAGAATCAATCACTGTATACAGGAGCAGTGGGAGGGGGGGCCGTTGCCAGGCCAACAGCAGCCCGGCCTGCACGCTGATGGTTGTCGCTCTGAGAAGTTGTTTTGTCATTTGCACAGATATGCATCGCGTTCATTTATTTTTTCGCCAAGTTATTTATTCAGGTATTAATTACCCTTCACTGCCGGTATCTCTGGAGTAAATGTTACTTTGGATTTACTTTCGAGGAGTTATATTCCTCTACGATTTAAAAAAAAAAACTCTGCTGCTGTTATTAACCCCTCAACAACCTTGCAGCGGCCTTGCGGGAAACAGCAGCATGACGTCCCAGCTGTCAGATCGGTCACACACAGAAGACACACAGATGTGGTAACGCAAACACGCCAACATAGATACAACCAAAAGAGAAGAAAGCGCTGGTGTACACAGTCACTGGCTCACACACGTGGCCCCGAGGTGGGCTCGGCACGGACAGGCCTGCCGGGCGCCTGGGCCGGGTGTGCGGGCCCGCCCAGCGCTGGGGAGCGCCATTAACGCCTGTCAGCCCCTGCACTCCATGCTAATTGCCCTGTGGAAGGCGCTAAGAATAGCGATTTGGAGTTCGCGACGGGCGAGTGTGCATTGAGTGGAGGAAAAAAAGTGGATATAGCACCTCTTGAATTACCTGAATTAACATGAGCTTTGGGTATTAAGGGCTGCTGTTAAGTGTATTAAAGGAAGCGGCCGCGGCAGCCGCCACAGACCTGAGACTTTAATGTTATGCAAAGCCCTGCAGAGGAAGGCCGTGGGGCTGCTTCCTGTGGGGGGGGGGCTGCTGGCGGAGCGGGCCGCTCGTCTTTAACCGTGCGGCACGCCGGCGGACACAGCCTGACACTCATCCTGTTAAATCATTTTTAATCACGCCATGGTTTGTATCACTCATATCATTGCCATTACGTATCTGAATATCTGCTTCCCTGCTTCTTAGAGAGCGCGAGACGGCAGTAAAAAAAAACAGTGAACCCAGACAGAATTATTGTACCCTGACATACAGCTAAGCTGCGGAGTTTGTCCTCTAATACCGACCCTCTCCTTCAACAACAGAATCAGTTATTTAAAAAAGCGTCCCATTTCGTACCTGCAGGGGGGGGGGGGCACCCCTCGCGGGTGTACAGGGGACCTACCCTGCAAAGGGTTTCAGTCGCAGCTTCCAATCCCTCCTCCTATGACACAGAAAAAGCATTATAACCATTAATGAAAAAGTTAATGGGCCATTTTCTTACATATCAATTTACATTTTACAATTTGGGTACACAAATGATGTGTTCGACGGCAGGCCAATAATATTTTGCTCAAGGAAACAGCTGTAATGTGTTTTATGGACATGCAGGGCGGGGAATAATGATGCGTCCCTGCAATGCAAACATGCTGACAGTTGATATGTGGTGATCAACAACTCCTGTAGAGGGGCTCCCACACAGAACGCGGCCGCGGAGCCAGGCGCGTGGAATACAGTCACACAGATGTGCACAAGAGCAGCAACAGCCAGAAAAACACGGACGCCCACAAGAACATGAGCGTGTCAGAATGCGAACACTCCAATTCGTCAACATAGAGCATAAACATCATGAGGTCATATACTACGGGGCAGTAACACACGTGCCCTGGCCTGCCAATGCGTCACAGATCCACAGCTGCAGCGACAGTTGCATCGAAGAACGCGCACCCTGTATGCGCTGCACACACGTGAACATGTCCTGCTCTCCCAGGGCATCGCTCCCTCTGCCCCGCACCCATAAATCAGCAGCTCCAGCATGACAAACTTGGGTTGTTCATTAATGGGCCCTATTGCAGCTCCAGCATGACAAACTTGGGTTGTTCATTAATGGGCCCTATTGCGCTTTTCTGTTTTTTTCCTTTCCTATGGTGTGTTAATATTTTAAAAACTTTATGTGCATGTAAACAGTCTGTGAAGTCTTAAGGCCCAAAGGGAGTAACTCGTAC